GAGGCTGCATTGGTCGGACGTTCAGCATCCAGGCGAAAACAGAGGATGCCGACGGCAGTGGCTGGTACTGAAAGGTTGGGTGTGAAGTCCGATGTTGCTGGAGAGGACGATCATATCCCGGACCTCCCGCCGCCGGCGCATCCTCCGAAGACAACGCCGGTTATTGATGGCGATGATAAAGTGAGTGTTGGTGGCGTTGGAACGGGCGAAGATGCGGAAGGGTCCGATGGGAAGGGGACAGGGTTGGCAGCAGACGATGAGGAAGAGGAAGAGCCTCTTAACTCGGGAGATGATGTGAGCGATGAAGAGCCTGAGTCTCTTTTTGAGTCAGACAACCTTGTTGTTTGTCAGTACGAGAGAGTGAGTTTTTGACGACTTTTATGGTCGTCATGGCTCTTCGATGGTCCTCATGGACTTTGTTATCGGTGTTTTAGGTTAGTCGGTCACGAAGCAAATGGCGTTTCTGGCTTCGCGATGGAATTATGAAGATTCGGGGTCGCGATCATCTCTTTCAGAAGCTTATAGTGGAGGCTGATTGGTACTTTGATGTTTATTTATGGCTTTTAAATTTCTTTCTTATGGTGATATGCGAATTTTGTGCATCAATATAGTCACTTGCTATTTTAGTGATGCATTTGATTGAACGGTTGACGCATTAGTCAGTATTTTGATTGGTGGTTTGTTTTTTTGTATTTTTTAGGTTGATCGTTCCCGCGAATAGTGTACCTACTCTGTGAGGTTCACAGATCCGTGCTTGATGCCTGCCATTTAGGACGTCTTTCATTGCCGATGGAGAGAGCGAGGATGGACATTAGTGAATGGAAGATAGGTGGTTTGGCGGGAGGAATCGGGTCGGTGCCTTCGATACGTCTTTTTTCTCTTTGTAAATAGGCAGAAATTGTGAGCGTCCAGACTTGCGGCCATCCATAATCTTCAATTTCCAAGCTATGCGGGATCGTGATTCGTACCTTTTCTCTCCGTTCTTTGTTCTTATGTTCTCCATTCCACATCGATGATGAACTTTGTTTATGTGTCGTGATACGCTACTGCCGCCGCAGCTACTCACACTCCCCTTGTACAAGATTCCAATGTTGCTGCCATTTTTTTTTCTGGCGTTTCGCTTTGGCTGCTTCACGGTGGACCGTTTGCCTCTGGGCGAGGTGTTTGCGCTAGACTGACTCCTCCAGGGTTTAGTTGTGACGGGTGGGGTCCTGGCATATTTTACCGCGCTGGTGGGTCTATCTTGTTCAATGGTGAGGCGGATCTAGGTTTTGGTCTCTAGGTCAGCATTACTAATAGTGATCTCGGCTTTGGTGGCGTCGGGATTGCTAAGAGGGTCACGCCGTGTTTACGTCAGCGGACAGTCGTTACTTGCTATGGTGGATAACGACAATGTATTTATTTATTTGGATATCGTAAATGTTTTTTTTTGACCGGAATGGAAGATTTGTGGTAGATATTCTTTCCCCAGCTAATCAATTCTCTGTACTTGTGATTGGTCGAAATCACTTTATCTATCTGGCCTAGGCTGAATCGCTACGGTTGGTTAGTGGGTTGGATATTTTTTAAAGCATTTTTCTGGATTGATGTGAGCTGAGTTATGCAGGTTCATTTTTTGGAAACATGACTTGTCTTAGGTTTTTAGCCAACTCATTACTCGATAATAGAGGCCTCTTGTTATACCGCGCACTGTTCTTTTTAGCTATATTGCATGGGATGAGTGCTGTTTCAACTGCCTCTAGCTTTGCACAGCAAATTCCGGGCTGGTTAGGCACTTTGGCAATTAGCTTCGACGGAAGAATCCTTTATTCCTCCGGTGAGTTATCCGACGACACTGAATTAGCGCCAAAATTTCTTGAGTTGGCTCGTCATCTTGCTGAGTACATGATTCTGGATGGTGAAACTGCAGCTCAAGAGGACCGTTTCCGGCGGTTAACAAGTAAGTTATGCTTTTGCTTTCTCTCATTCCCTTCACATTCTTATGTACATTTTGGCTCTAGTTTTGTGTTCTAGGTACGCTTATGTTATGACCGCTGTAGGGGAAGCCGTGTATGTGATCAAGAGACAATTATCTCTTTCGGATTCTGATGAGGACAGGCAAGGATCTCAACCTTCTCACATGCCCGTAAATGTCTGATTCCGATACTTCTTTTGCTTTCTCACTCATGTATAGTTCCTTCCACCACTCAACTCATTTCCATAACACACGAGGACGGATTGATTACAAACTGGTCTTTTAATTCGTTAAAGACTTGTTGAGTTTCGGGCTTGTAGAACCTTTGTGCGCTGATTTGCTGTGCAAACATAAACGGCTAGCTGTGCACAAGACCCTTGGTTTTCTCCCACCCCTAATTAGTTACCATGTGAAGACATTTTCCGGTTAACTTCATTATCAGTTAGGGTTTATCGCATTCCACAACACAAAGTCCCACAGCAGCTGCTCGACTTTGCTGGCGTATTTTTTGAGGAAACACTGATGTTCACTTTCTGATATATTGGTATAGTCATTGCGTCCTCCCATTTCAAGCATTGCAATGTCCTTCTTGCTGGTTTGACATTAAGTTCAGAGCTAACTAGAAAGGATTACACTACTTTCCTGATCCTCAACTTGATCTAACCTCTCGGTGCTTCACATATTTGTGTTTAAGATCCAAACTCCTGCTTGCTCATCTTTCTCAAGTAGTGCTAAATAGAGGCTATTTGACCGCAGTGGAACGCTTACATAAGTCTGCATAGTAAGCTTAAAACGTGGAGGAATGAATGCAGTTAGTAGACACATCAAATGGGTAGGGATTTAAATTTTGGGGAGTTACGAAACCCATCCCCACTTAGTGGCTAAAGAATTTTGCGCAGTTTACAACACGACCCATGATGATTTGGCTAAGTTTCTGCGGTGTATGACACGGTTCAAATAGAAACGGCTCAGACATCTTTAGTTCAAAGACAAGATTCCAGATCATCCCTCTCTGACCTTAAGTGGGCAGGACTGCGCACTTTTAGTGATTCGAAACTGAAGTTGGGAACACAAACTTCCCGCGGCGTTACACACTTTCAACATCAATCTCGATGAGCTGCAATTATGGCTACATGAAAGCTATAGACCATTTAAATGGTATAAAAGCCCTCAAGTTAGTGACTTTCTTGGTTTTCACGTCAAAGAAAGACCCCACGTTGTTGACTGACTGGTCAATGACCAAGGCTTAGACAGCAGCCCTGCTGTTCCTGCTCGAATGTACATATAAAAATCTTTACACAAGACACATGAAAGTTGGGGACAAGTGACGATTGAGCCTAAACGTAAACTAGACCCCCCAAAAAGGCTCGAAGTGCATGCCATTTACCGCCTACTCGAACGTTAGTAAACCCAAACAACACCAAAGAAAGGATTAAAAAGCATTTCAAGCTCAATAAACGCGGATATTAAAGACCCGGCCACTACGTAACGACATAAAGAAAATAATGAACAATGAGACTGATTGTAGTATTTTGAGGGGAAAGGGAGGAGGTCTAGTATAGGGAGTCAAAGCGGTAGTGATGCCAAGGCAAAATTTAGGGAGTAAACAGCATGATTACAAAGAGGCCGGATAGCGAGGTGGCGAGAGCAAGCGCGACTATGTACAAAGCTCCCAGTCTTCCATTCACTGACACACCGACCCTTGCTCTCCTCCATTATCAATGAAAGACATCTCCAGATACACACCTCACAAAACAAGCAAGCCGCTAGGGAGGAACAATCAGCCTGCAAAGGTAACCATGAGAAAAACCAAAACCTTAACTTAGCTCTCATAGCAAAAAGGAGAGGAAGTGAAGTAGGAGATAAAAAAGGACAAATTACCAGTCGACCTCCGCGAACAGCTTTTGAAAAAGATGTTCCCGTCCTCGAATTTTCATTATTCCATCACGCATCCAGAAACGCCATTTGGATCGCGAGTGACTCACCTGCAGGCACCAATAAAAAACCAAATAAATAAGGAAAAGGTACAGACGCTGATAAAAGGCAAGCAAATAGAAAAAAAAGCTAGACACTTGCCTTCTCATATTGACACACAACGAGGTTATCCGATTCAAAGAGGGACTCCAATTCCTCGTCAGTTACATCATCACCCGAATTAAGTGGTTCCTCCTCTTCCTCATCGTCTGCTGCCAACCCTGTCCCCTTCCCATCGGACCCTTCCGCATCTTCGCCCGTTCCAACGCCACCAACACTCACTTTATCATCACCGTTAGCTGATGGCATTGGTGAAGAAGGAAGTGGCGGTGGCAGATCTGGAATGTGGTCATCCTCACCAACAACCGTCTTCATTTTCTCCCAACCAGAAGGGGCCACTGCCGTCGGCATCCTCTGTTTTCGCCTGGATGCTGAACGTCCGACCAATGCAGCCTC